TTCAGGGTTGATTTTTGTGTTATACATTTTTTCTTGTAGATTGAAGGCATAAATTCTCAAAAGAATTTTTTAAATTTTCCTATCTTTAATTATGCATCATAGATTTATTCTTGTGAGATATGAAAGCCTTGATTCTCCTAAAAATTTTTTATCTTACTATCTTTTGTAGTGATGGTCGATTGAGGTTGATTACTTCTTTACCTGCTCAAGAGATTTATTATCATTCGAATTGTTAAAAGAAATGCTCTGCAAGTGACATGAGCAATATTTGTGTATATTTGTTATCTGGAAGCCATGTCACTGGAGCATTGAAGTGATCATAGAATAATTTTCCTTTTTACCCTTTAATTAGATATAGCTTTGTATGGAGTATCTATGCCATTCCTGAGTTTTTATGTTAAAAACATTACGGATGACACTGATTTTGGAATTCAGAGTTTCTTACATGATTTGGAATTTAACCTCTATTTGGAAGATAAAATATGAGCTGGCTTCTATTTTTTGGTTCTGATGTTTTCTCTGATATATTGAGATAGTGAATTTGGATCATAGTTTTCAATACAATATATTCTAAGTATCATAATGAAATGAAATTTGCCTTTCAATTGGGTAAAAATAAGGAATTCGGAGTTTCTTGCTTGACTTGGAATTTAACCTCTATCTTCAAAATGAAGTGTAAGCTGGCTTCTATGTCTTGGTTCCGATGTGCTTTCTAATCAATTGATATAGAGATAACTTGGATCGTAGTTTTTGATACTATAATTTTAAGTATCGAACTTTGCTTAAAATTTTTTATAGATGTATGTTAGTTGTGATCTCGTCCCTTTTCCAGAGAGAGGTCCTTTTGATTAAAGCTACTCACCTTACTTTTAGGAGTTAAAGCTATTAGTTTAACAGGACTTCTCGTATTCAATTAATGTATGTAATAACTTAAAATCTATTGCCTTCCACACATGGAATGGGAGCATTTCCTTGTCCAAAGCTTATCTTATGTACAAGCCTAGATGGTACTGATGGTTCATTTGTTCTGATACCAAGACAGGGTTCTTTTAAAAGAAAAAATTTGAAATAGAATATGTATATATATTTTTTGAAATAAAAATAGTATGGTATGATTCATTCACATGCACCAATGGGTTGCAAACTCAAGTACAAAGATATTTACATATCGATCAAACTGTCTGTAGAATATAAAAAATTATACTTTCCTTTCTTGGGAAAAAAGTCTATTGTATTAAGTTCTACTGGCTAGTCTGTCGATTTATGTTTTGTTGCACGTCCAAGTGATCTCATGCATTTTGTGCTTGTACAAAAATGGATGTTGAAAGATTAATGTGATATGGTCTAATGGTGATAGAACAGGCAACATTTGGCTGTCCTGGGAGTTCATCTTATGTAACTTTCATCTTTTTTTTTTCTTGAAAGAAAAATGTCTTGTGTAACTTTTATAGTGATTAGATTACAACCAGTTCCCTGCATTCACTGCTTTGTCTGTTCTCTTGCAAAACCTGCAAAATGACGTTGTTGTATTTGTGATGATATTTTTTATATAGGAACCAAACTTTAAGCAGAGAATGTTCTTACGATAGTGCAATTTGTTTTGTTGTGGCGCTAAACTATTTGACCCAAATAAAACATCATAATTAGTTTCCCTTCTATGTAACAATTACTAAAAAAATTCTTTTGTTTGTCATTCACAAGATGACTTTGTTGTTTATAATATGCTCCTGCTTCAAGGAGGCTGGGTTAGATGGAACGTGATCCTGAATTTTAGCCAGTACTGGAAATAACTAAAGAATGAAATAGACAGGCTGACTAACTGAGGTTGCTACCTGTTATAAGTTAAAGTCCA